CTGTCAACAGAACTTCAGCAACACTTGGAACTTGGTAATACCAGCAGAATAATGCCAACAAAGAATATCGAGCATAAGTCACTTAACTATACGAAATCAGTCAATTAACTGAAGGGTAGAGATGAACCAACATAACATCAACAAACAACATAGAGAATACGGCCCTGTTTGGCTTGGGAGGGACATTTTGCGTTTTCGCTAGTTCTCTTTGCTGTTTCCTGTCGAATTGGACGTCACATCTCAGTGAGAACTGTTGAATCCTGTCAAGTGTAAACGAAGCTCCTACTACTGAATCGTTTCACAGGAATGTACAGGTCTCCACAATAAGCAACGCAAGGAACCGTGGAAACAACGAGATGCTCCCACCAAGCCAAGCTGCGCCGAGATGGTTTTTGTTGGGGACCGCCGCACTTCAAGAAGTCAAAAATGTCGTAAAAGCTTGCCTTGAGATACGTAGCCACGCACTTCTTTGAGACCAGGGACCGTCCACAAGGTGCACGATACATGATTCGACCGTCGCTTGCACGCCTCACCGAACTTTCATGCATGTAAAGCTGAAAAACTTGTTTTGACAAAAAAAAACAATAGAGGTAAGAAACACGGGTATGTGACAAGACAACCGTAATATGCCGATGGGCGTGGCGAGCGATGCCGTGCACACAGACGCGTGGCCATGAATTTGAGCGTAAAAAAAGTGGAAAAAGTTGATATTGTCGTAATGAAGCCTTGCCTCCGCTTGAATTCGGAGTTACTCTGCTCCGATAGACTAACTGATACGCATCACATATTTGCCGCGCATCGCCGCCTGATACGCCGCGCACGAAGGTGCGACAAATTACGGTTGTCTTGTCCGCCTCCCGGCAGATAGTCGAGATGGCGGGGTCTCACCATTCGTCGCCATCCACACAAAATCGGAATATGCAATGGTGAACACTTGTAGAATTGCGGATTCGAAGGATCGCGCTCCAATCCTCCCAAGCAAACCGGTGAGCATTCCGTATGATACTGCCAGCTGGTCTGAGGCAGCGGCTGGCTACACGGCAGCACTTCGAACTAAACAGTAAGGTAGCTCTCCGACAAACTTTCAAAGGAATTACACTCAGGCATGTCATACGTTAGAGATAACCAGCGAGAGGGAGGGGGTCGTATTCAATCACTGGTGTTTGATTTGAGAAGCGTTTTTCTTTGTTTTGCCTGTTCCAAGGGCGCTATATACCCCGCTGTCTCGTTCCCCCCCCCCCCCCGAGCTAAGCGGCAGGTTTTTGTGAGGTAAAGCCAAGACTTCCTTGGAAAAAGAGACATGGAATCGGGAAGTTAAGGAAAATGGTAGATGGGGACAGGGGCCTTGCCAGAGGTTGAACCTTGAGTTGAATCGTACTTCAGAAAAATTTTCCCCAACGGCAGGACGTGCCCTGACTATGGTAATTGATGATTGCACCTTCTATTCTCAGGACTAACTCAAATACAATCAATCACCTGAGCTTCTTTCTTCAATCGAATAGCCAAAGTTTGTGGATCCATCTCATAATTGAGCGCTTCTGCTGGTCCTCCATCGGCTCTGACTGGCGCCGACGACTTCCTCGCCTTTAAATTGAACATTGGCCAATTAATCAAGGGAGAATAGTCACATAAAAAACTATCTGAAGGCAGTTGGATTGGTGGAGGCGGGCGGTTGTTGCCAACGTCATTGGTGGAAGGGCTGCGGGACCGTAGTTGGCCACATCCTACTCAGCCCCTAGACCCTTTACGTTGGCAACAACCGTCCGCTCCTGCCATCGTACAAACTGTCTTTAACCAAAAAATCAGAAAATGATAACAGTATTCTCTCAAATATCGTACAGTGGTCGAGGTGGTCTTGAGCCGGTCGGGACATGGGCTTGGCTGCACAACGTCGAACTGAGAACGATTCTTCGCCATTCGTCTTGCCGACATATTGTTACTACCAAAGTGTTCGAGATTCTGTAAGTGTTTATGTTTTACGGCAAACTTCACATCTTTCGAGAACATCCACGTCCCCATCCCGTAGTTGAAGACCAACGTGGTCAGCTGTCCATAGCTGGCATATCAACCTACAGTTCTCAAAGCATATCAACTTTCGCCAGTGGCAAGCTGTCCAGAAGTTATATGCTTTGGATGAGGGGGAGAGCCCCTTAAGAAGACCATCATCGTCTGTCCTCATTGTGTCCCCCTTGCCCCCTTGACATCTCCCTATACGATCATATGCGGAATGTATCTTCTAACCCTTTTCCCTTCATCGAAAACTGATCGAAACCACTCACAACTGCATGGATTCTTGATGATCCTCTGAAGATAGTCTCGTCTACATGGAAGTGCCCAGGCAGCGTGCAGGGATATTCGAAGCAGTTCACACCAGCAAGAGAACGGCTACGAGGAGGAAACCGCAAAACACACAACGCTCTATCGGTGGAGACCACATAGGCCGTAACACGATCCTGATTGCGATCATAGGCCTGAAAAACCCGAATGAGTAACAGAAGTCCTTCAGGAAGGATATACTGGGAAGCAAAAAAATCAAAAAAAGTTCACAGACCACAACAGCTTGTGCTGGCCTTTCTGGCGGTGACGGTTTTTTCATACGTACGAGCGGCCAATCTGGGTATTTCTCAAAGTACTTCTGGATAAATCTTCTCCGCTCTGGATTCTGCCTGATCAATTGGTACACTCCACCTTTGTCAATCTAAATATACTGAAGAAATAAAAGTAACAAAGCAAGAACCACCCAGTTCAACCATGTTCGAGGGGCAAACCGATTTGGTCTACGAACTCAGCTGTGTGCGTATCTGTGGACAGTGGCCGGTTCAGAAGCAAAGAGATGCATCGACTTTCTTGCTCAGTCTGCCACCTATCATGCTTCTACCTGAACCGGCGACTGTCTAGCATCGCCGCATTCACAACGAAAACGCTGAGATAATGATCGCACCAACTAAGCATATTAAAAACGCGTCCCGTGTTCATCTGGTGTGCAGACTCCGTCTCCGAACAAGGTGGTACTGACCGCAAGCATGGAGGATATATCACATGCACGACTCAAAAATGCGTGATAAGGAGGCCACCCGACCACGGCGACGCCAGCGCCACGCCCACAGCCCCATACCACACCCATATTCAATTTTAACTGCTATGTGATGGTGCTGCTATTCTGGAGCACTTCCTTGATTCACCGTATCCTCTTACGAATTCGGATCGCAGGGGTGCTTTGCAGGGCATTTTCTGAATTTGTTCTGCTTTTCCTCAAAGTGAGTTTACTTACCTTCTTGTTACTCACATTTGAGCCCCATTATCCAGTATTTTTGCTCACTGGTCGCGCCTTTAGGCCTGCTTCCGCCAAAAGTATTGCTCGGCCATTTCCGAATACGATAATATCAATGAATTAGGACTTGATTACTCACATCAATCCCATTTGAAGCAATTGACTGTCTCGCCAACGGCAAAATCTTCAGAAGGCGAATCTTCTCGCGGAATAGCTGCACGCGATCTCCTGCCAGCTACAACGGTAGCACGATTAAGTCATACACAAGTGATCAGCCGAAAGTAGAAGTTATTCGTACCGAAGAAGCTTTCATAGCGTCGCTATCACAGGATTCGAATGCCGCCTGCACGTACTGTTCAAACCCATCATCAAAGAAAATCTGAAATTTAAAGTTTCAGGTGGCCCTGAAAATAACAGGAATGCAGCATAATAATATGCCAGAAACTTCCTTACGATATAAAATTGTTTGGCATGTGAAAAATTTACAAGTTTGACATCCGAAAAATTTACAAAATTTCCTCGCAAAAAAAACGAAAATTAATAATAGCCCCACAGAATTTGTTTTGGTACTAGCAGAGACTCCAAGTAGTTCAAATCTATGAATGATATGACATGAAATGGTTAAGGGACTACAAATAAATAAAAATATCAAGCGTTCCTGGTATGTGGTTCTAGTTTGCAAGTTGAAAAGTAAAGAAAAAAAAGCAGTTTCAGGAAAAGAGGAAATGGAAAGTTCCAAAACTAAAAATTGGATTGAGACCTCACCAGGAACTCCCTGTTATGGGCAGTGTTTGGAAGTGTGCCTATAGTTCCTGTACTCCATACCGGTTGATCCATGAAGTAAGAACTTGTAACCAAAGCAGCAACTCGCAATCCTCAACAGTGTATGTATTTATACTTTGTAGTGTTTTCAGTTAATTTAAAACCATCCAAAGGCACATTCCGCGCTAGCTGTATGGGAGGGGCTTAACTGGATCACTGCACTCTTCCCATCGGGAGGTCCTTCGTTCTAGGACAGCGAATACAAAGAAGGTGAGGTGCACCCACGAGGAAAGCGCAATGATCGAATCAAATCCACCCATAGGATCAGCTTCAAATGTGTTTTCGAAGGTGGTGGGTGGAGGGGCGGGGAGGCTGTAATTTCACATCCTCTTTCTGACGACGTTATCTACAGCTGCGCCTCTTTTGCCACTGCAGGGCGAAACTTTCCTAAACTGCTGCCGCTTAATATCATCAGTAGCTCTCCTGTCGATCACTCTTACACCACTTGCGCTAGGCTCAACAGGTACAACAATTACATAGTAAAAATTAGTCACCTAGTTCGTACCTACAATTTACCCCAGAGCTGCTAAGGCGGGGTTGCGCCACTTCATCGTGAAACACGACGTAAGAGGGGGTTTGTCGTAAGACAACCTATTCGCGGATAATTATCCTCGTTTTAGACAATTGACTTGATTAACGTTCAACTATTCGAAAGGCAACTTATTCCGCTAGAAGCGCAGCCAACTCCACGTTGAAATGAAGTTGCAGTCATGCCCTCTCCTTCTCCAAGATATGGAGTGTATATCAGGCCATAGAATCCTTCCTTTTTGAACTGGAGCGAGTCCTATTCACTTATTGGAGCTCCACACAAAATGATCTTGTCGAACTTCGACACCACTCATAACTAAAAACTAGTAACTGCACAATCGAAACAGCTTCTAGAGGATACAGAAGCGAGACCATTTCTCATGCGCCGAAGTTTCGAACGCTTCAAGTGTTGCCTACTGGTCTCCGCAGAGCACCATAACCAGAATTTTACCGAACCGGGCTGTATACGGACACAAATTTGATCAGATCTTTCTCGAAAAACAAACCTATGTAATTGGTCCTTTTTATGTCCGGATCATACATAGGCACGCTCGGTACAGCAATGTCACCCGTTTCGACTTCTTCAATGGAACCATTGTCGACCAGTTGCACTTGGTACGTCATGGCGGACAACTGAAGAAGGAATTTCGTCAGATTCCGCCACCATCATGTGATAGATCGG